GAGAGAGAGAGAGAGAGAGAGAGAGAGAGAGAGAGAGAGAGACTGGATTGCATGGTTATCACGATATCAGTAAATTGGATATACCTCCAAGGACTCAGCTCTTGTAATTGTCAAAAGGGGCTCAACATGACATCCCACCTCACAGTGGCTGACCTAGGATGGCGCCCACACAAAGCTGGCACTAATCAATCTCTCCTTCCTTTGAACACCTCAACGACGTGGTCAGGGAGGGTGCTATGTCCAGGTGCAGGCCCTGCAGGCCCAGGGATGAAGCTGTGGTGACAGCGGTGCTCTTGGCACTGGTGTCCTCTCTCCAGGACTCCACACCCCCGAGGACAGCAGAGGTTAGGGTGCCGAGGTGCAGCCAGCCAGTCTCTTCGGGATTGGGTACTGTGGGGGTCCTTCTGTTACAGTGCTGCTGCACCCGGATACTCCTGACAAGAGGCCGGTAGCTTTGGTGTTACCTGGACTTTTCCTCACCTGGGCACGAGGTAACGATGACCCCACAGAGATGCCTGGAGGGGCCTGGTTCTGCACTGTGCCTGGGTACCACGATGGGCCTATCAAGTCACGGCACGTTCGCTTTATTTGCCAATCTGTTGACTGTGCCCTCCTTGGCCTTGGAGTCCTATTCATTGAGCAGTAAACACGTTACCTAGCAACCAAATGTCAATATCAACAAAGGCTCTGATGAAGTTGTTAATCTGGGTGAGACTGACAGCGGGGGCCAAGGCACTCTGTGCGCTGTTCCTCCCTGCATTGTGTGACACTTAGCCTGGCCCGCAAGGGACTCGATGCTCAAAAGACCCCACATCTCCCTCCACTATGGAAACCAAATGAAGTGTGTGTCGTCGGCAGCGAAAAGGCCCCAGAGCTGGCCCCCCTAGGGATCTTACTTGTCTTTTTTTCTTTTCTCCCCCCAGGGCCTCAGCTCATGGGGCAGAGTATTTCTCCTGAGTCTAAGGCTACTAATTTCCAGAAACAATGTAGGACACTCCAGGGGCAACCCCGGGCACTCAAGGGACATGTCTGTCATTGGCTCTGTTTGGGGAGCCTCAGGTGAGGCCACAATGGTGCAGCTGGTTCTGGGAAGTGTCGTTGTGCCTACAACTGACCTCGAGGCAGGAGCTGTGAGGTGAAGGGTAGGCTATGCATCAACAAGGGCCAGGCCCTGCTCCTGGAGCTTGAACTGCAGAGAAGCCTGGGGAAATAGGGCCCTGCACCCTGGAGTTCGAACTACAGAGAAGAAGACTGGGCAGGACACAGCTCTTTATCATTTTCAGGGGGAAGCGTGAAGATGTTCAAAAGTCTAAATAAAATGCACTCAGAAGTGTATGGGGTCCATGACCCAAGTGGAGTTCCTGAGAGTGGGGAGGCCAGGTAAGTGCCTCCTAGAAGGCAGCCTACCTATGGCTGCGCCCAGGACCCATGCTGGGTGAGCCATTAGAGTAATAAACTCAACTGTGGTTGGCCTAAATAAATAAATAAATAAATAAATAAATAAATAAATAAATAAAATAGACTGAGCATCTGCTTCTGTGTTTGATTGTTCAGGACACAGTTTTTAGCACCAGGCATTACGATAGGTGAAAGCCAGATACTGTTCTCATAGGGGGAGAAGCCTGGGCCACCAAGAGCAATGCCAGGCAGGGTGGGATATCCTTCCAGGAGGCCTGGGCCTGCCTGGGGAGGGTGGAGGCAGTGGAAGCGAGGAGTCCTGGAGGAACTGCTGGAAGGGCAGGATGCACACAGGTGAGGATTACAGACCCAGGTGTGGGGAGTCCCTCACCCCACATGCTAAGTCACCCTGGACACGTGTCCCTCCTCTGAGTTTTAGTTTCTATACCCGAAGCACCTTAAGATTAGGATAGATGGCTTCTGCCTTACCCTGTAGGAAGAGGGAGCCTCTAGGGTGGCTCTAGGCTGGAGCTGGGAACCCAAAAACTTAGTTTTCATGAGGCATGACAGCTGTATTTCGAAATGATCTTTCTGAGCATCTCTCACAAATGCACAGTTCCCCCAGATTAGCAAGTCCAGGAATTAGAAGGTCCTAGAGACACTGACAGACTGATGGACTGTCCTCTTCAGCTGCCCAGTCACAATTTCCAAAGTAAAAGGGTCTGTTTAGCTCAGGCTAGCCTAGACATGTTGCTGAAGATCATCTTCTGATCCTCCTGCCTCCACCTCCCATGGACAAGGATTACTGGTGTGTACCCCTCTGGCAGGTTTATGGGTGGTACTCAGGGCTTTGTCCATGCTCGGCAAGCATTCTGCCAACTCAGCTCTACCCCGTCTCCAGGCACAACCTTGAAGGGTCTTTTAAAAGATCCTTTTGATTACTTAAAGGAAGAAGTGGGGCTAGTGTGCCCCCGGTACCCTTCTAATCCGAGAGTCTGAAATGGGGAAGCCTGGCACTGTGTCTTGTCCAAACAAACGGGCTTGACTGGGGTCACCGCTGTCAAATATAAGAAGGTTACCGTTGCGTAGCAATTTCTCCTGAGCTGACACATTCCATCCTAGAGGGAAATTCATTGAGACCTGGGAAATTCTAAAAGGAGTCCGGTTGAGACTCAGGAAGCAAACAACTCTCAGGTCTTAGGAAGTCCCTGAAACCTACCAGATATGCCAGATCCCGCCTTCCCCAAGGCTATAGAAGCAGTAAGTAGTGGCTGAGGAGTGGAGAGTCCCCAGAGAGCGTCATGGTTCCAGCTTTGTGAGTCAGCCCTCATGCTGAGTTGGCTTTGGTGATACAGCTACCTTTAAGTTGTCCTTGCTCCTGCAAGTAACTCCTCCCCCACACTACTGTAAGTAAGCCCAGTGAACTCATATGCTCACAATGTTGGACTTTGGTCTGTCATCAGTTACCTATCTGGAATGAGCAGAACATTTGCTCATGTCACCCCAGGAAGGGTCACACAACAGCTGTGCAGTTTCCCATATATTATAGGGACCATAAAGTTCCTCCTAGTAAACAGGGCAGACCAATTCCAATGGAAAAAGAATAGCGTGTGGAAACCCAAAGTTTTAGACCGCTCTGACTTCCAAAATGGCAGTTTTGTGTGACCCAACCTACCAGAAAGCAGGCGTGATAAATCCTGCAATGGCTCGCATTTATTGAGAACCTCCTGTGGCTGGCACTGTTCGGAGGACTTTACACCAAGTACCCCGTGTGCTCCTTGAATGCACAGGGTGTGGTCCTACAACATCATCGCTCCGCTCCCATCGGCGAAGGGCCTCCCTCTCCCGGGACTGGCTGGCAGCAGCCTCCTCTATCTCATGCTCCCCATGTCTCATTTTCTTCCAACATTTCACTCGTCTCAGCCCCGAAGCACACACAGACAGCCGTCCCCATGTCCGACAAGAAGCCATGTCACGTGGCTGATACAGAGAGAGAAAGTTAGAGGTGACAAAGGACTACAGAGGTGGGAAATCGGTGCCCATCACTGCTGACCATTCAGGCTTGTCCCTCCACAGCTCCGCCCCTGAAGAACAAGGGACTGGACAGGGGACATAGCTCAGTCGGTTGCCTAGCGTGCATGAGGCCCTGGGTTCCACCCCCAATATCACATAAAACTGGGCATGGTAGTGCATGCCCGTAATCCCACTACCAAAAAACGTGAGGCCACAGGCATCAGCCGTTCAAGGTCATACTTGGCTGCACAGCCAGGCTACACCCTGGGCCACATGAGAGCCCGCCTCAAAAAAACCAAGAGGAAGAGTGGAGAGACAGAAACTGTCAGAGGATTTGTGCTACGGAACCTGTGGTGGTTTCTTTTCTCTTGCTGTGATGAAACGCCATAACTAACCAAGGCCACCTATAGAGGGGGAGAATTTATTTGGGCTTTCGGTTCCAGTGGGACAAGAGTCCTCCTTGTCAGTGAAGCATGGTAGCAGGCAGCAGACGTGGGTGCCGGAGCAGGTGGTCGAGAACCCACATCTTCAAACTCAAGCATGAAGCAGAGAGGGCAAACTGAAAGTGGTATCGGGTTTCTAATCTCAAAGCCCGCCCCCGTGAGTCTCTCTCTCCAGCAAGGCTTGTGCCATGTAAACCTCCCCAAATGGAGCCACCTACTTGGGACCAAGGGTTCAAAATATCTGAGCCTGTAGGGGATGTTCAAACCCTACAGAAGACAACGAGACTAACAGAAATCCGAATGGGGTATGAATGAGACGTGGTGAAGTCACACACACTAAGGGAGGTGTGACTTTCACTGACAGAAGCACACCTCTCAGTGTGTGATGATCAATCATGCCCAGAGCAAAAAGTCCACTGCACAGTTAACAGGAAAAGCCGCAGCACCGAGGAGAAGGTTTAGTCAGTCACATAATCGCCTCATGTGAGCATGAGGACCAGAGTTCAGATCCCTAGAGTCCCTTTAAAAAGCCAGGCATGGTGGCAGTCGCCTGTAATCCAAGAACTGGAAAGATGGAGACAGGAGCCTCCTTAGCCGAATCAACAAGCTCCAGCTATGCTGAGAGACTCTGTCTCAGAAAACATGGGAAACATGGGAAATGATCAGGGAAGACACCTGACATCAGTCTCTGGCCTCTGCACATGTACACATGTGTGCCTGCACACACACACACACACACACACACACACACACACACACACACACACACACACACACAGGAAAGTCTTGAGGTAACTGATGGTGGGTTTCCTGCAGCTCTGGCTGGCTGGAATCTATCATTACAGCATCTTAGTGGGTGGAAGGTCTGTGAGGACTGCTCTGGAGGCAGTGGAGGGATTTTTTTTTTTTAATTCTGGACAAGTTGGTTGTGGAGGACGATATCAAAGGTCTCTACTGTGCAGCCTGGGTGTGTGGTGGGCTGCCCCTGCCTAGGTTTGTCCCAGCACACTCAGATGTTTGCACAATAGCAGAATCCTTTGATGCCTTTTCCCTAGTGTGTCCTTGTCACTAAGTGGTGTGTGACTTCCATTGATCATATGCCAAGTTCGCGGAGGCTCTGTGACCTTGGGCAAACACCTGCCATGCTGAGCAGAGGCAGGTCTGCGTCCCGAGGTCCTCTCTCATCTGTTGTTTCGTAGCCTGGGATCCACCCATGGCCTTGTTCAGTAAGCAACGTTGACTGCCCATGGTCACAGCTGGGGATCGTGTGGAGGACAGGATTACAGGGAGACAGCAGGACAACAAAGGGAGAAGGTAGGTGCATGTGATGAGGGGTACTGTGGCCACACAACCATCACTGTCCCACCTATGGAAGAAAGACGTCAGGAGGGCCAGGGTGTGCAGAAGGCTGCCCCCTAGAGCCGGTGTGGTGTGAGCCCTGGGCGGCAGCACTGAACCATGTCCACCTGGGTAGGGCCAAAGGACACAGGCCACAGGAGGAGAGGAGAGGTGGGAATCCATCAGTGTACACAGGGCAGAGGAGGAAGGAAGACAGAAAAGCAAAGGAAGGGCCTGTCATGAGATAGGGAAAGTGGAATTATGGGATGTCGGGTGCAGACTCGGTGAAATGGTATTCTTGCAGTTACAGGGCGCACAGAACTTGGAGGTGCTTCCTCATCTGACCAGCCAGCTCCTCGCGGGGCTCTCCTCCAAGCCAAGGCCAGTACAACAGGGACCGACAAAGCCAGACGTGCTCCGTGAA